TGCTTGGGATTCTACCTTTCTCCTCTCTCAGCCCTTCCCCTGCTTGCACTCTCTCTGTCTCCCTCAAAATAAATTAAAAAAAGATAAAAAGAGTCGCGTGTTCTAGTGACTAAGCCAGCTAGGCACCCCTGAAAACTGCCCATTGTCCCTATATTCCTTGAACTTGAATTTCCACTCCACTTCCATGTTTTTTTTTAACATTCAGTTTTAAGAGCAAGTGGGGGGGGGTGTGGGGGGGAGAGAACAGATCAGGAGCAGGGGAGGGGCAGAGAGAGAGGGAGACACAGGATCTGAGGCAGGCTCCAGGCTCTTAGCTATCAGCACAGAGCTCAAAGTGGGGCTCAAAATTACAAGCCATAAGATCATGACCTGAGCTGGAAGTCAGACGCTTAACTGACTGAGCTACCCAGGCACCTTATCTATATGGGGTTTTTTATGTTTATTTATTTATCTAGAGAGAGAGAGAGAGCATGAACAGGGAAGGGGCAGAGAAAGAGACGGGGAGAGAGAGAATCCCAAGCAGACTTTGTGCTATCAGTGCAGAGTCCAGTGCAGGCTCAATCTCAGGTGAGATCATGACCCAAGCCAAAATCAAGCGTTGGTACTTAACCGAGCCACCGAGGCACCCCATCCACTTTCATGTTTTAAAAAGTTATTGTTCATTCTGTCATACATCTCAGAAAAAAATGTAAGTGAATTAAAATTCAATAAACATTTCTTGTGACTAAAGCTCTAAGAATATAAAATACTTTTCTTCTGTAATGAATTACCATTAAAATAATTAGAAACACTTAGTTGACAAAGGGATATAATTTCTTATTATTCTCTTAATAAGCTGGTTTGGTTTTTTGCATTAGCATGTATCTATAGATGAAACTATATAATTTACTGATAAAATGTGATAGGACTCAGCATCAGTTTTATTCCCATGTTTTGATCTTTTATAGATGTGATCCCTGAGAAGCCTGGCTTATATAAATAAGAAATAGAAATGAACAGTTTTGTCATAGTAATGTTGTTGTCAAGTGTTTTAATTCCTTCCAAATCATGTGCCCCAAATCACACTGATCTATTGTCAAAAATTATTTTTTTGTTACTTTTTGTTCAGAGCAAATAAAAATCACCTGACTTGCAAAGAATGCAACTCGGCCATATTAAAGAAGGTTCTCAGGGCACTGGGCAGCTCAGTTGGTTAAGCGTCCGACTTCGGCTCAGGTCATGATCTCACGATTTGTGAGTTCGAGCCCCATGTCAGGCTCTTTGCTGACAGCTCAAAGCCTGGACCCTGCTTCAGATTCTGTCTTCCCTTCTCTCTGAGGCTCCCCCACTTGTGCTCTGTCTCTCTCTGTTTCTCAATAATAATAAGTAAATGTTAAAAAAAATTTTTTTTAATAAAGAAGGTTCTCAACCTCAGAAAGTTCCTTACTATGATAATCTATAATTCTTAGACTTTTTGGAGGTGGCCTGTTTTAGGACCATAGCACCTAGTTAACATTTGAACAATGACTTATATTTCTTAAGATGCTTATGATGAAAAGCATTTGAGACTGTAGTAAGTTTTCTATAAAGTTTAAGAAAGTAACCAAATATTTGAATTTGTTCATACAGATTGAAAACACTAACAGCAATAAAATGCTATAAACTGTATGTCTAATGTTAATTTGGATTGAGCAACCATTGCTTTTATTAATATTTCTCACATATTTATTTTAATGGATCTATTGAAAGTAGCACTTTGCACAGTACAAAATAAGCCTACATTTGCTTATCTTTTAAACCATTAAACTATTTATTGGCCTTTTTTTGGCTGATGTGCTTATTACTAAATATGGTCACTGGAAGCCAACAGAACACAGGTTAAAAGACTAGTTCCTTGGGTATTTACAGACGTTTTTGGTTAAGGCTTGTTTTGCTCTCTTGGATCTCCCCAGATCTTTGGCTTTTTCTTTAGTTTATTAAATGTATTTCTGTACTGAGATCCCTTTTTTTATTTAGTAGTAACCCGTATCTTAAGCATTTCACAGTTCCTGTGCAAGAATAATAAAACTCTAATAGAATGATATAGAATAAAGGAGACATCAATTACCAAAAAAAATAAAATAAAATAAAGTCCCCAAAAAGAGCTTTACGGCTTTACCAAGGGGTACCTGGGTGGCTTAGTCAGTTAAGCATCCCACTTCAGCTCAGGTCATGATCTCATGGTTTGTGAGTTTGACCCCGCATCAGGCTCTAACTGTTAGTGCAGACCCTGCTTCGTAGACCTCTGTCTCCCTCTCTCTCTATCTCCATCTCAGTCTCTCTCTCAAAAATAAATAAACTTTTTTTTTTTTTTTTAAGGCTTGGGGTGCCTAGGTGGCTCAGTTGGTTAAGCAGCCGACTCTCGAGTTCGGGTCAGATCATGATCTCATGGTATAGTGAGTTCGAGATGGACATCCGCTTGATCTTCCCGCTGTCTCTGCTCCTCCCCCACTTGTGCAGTCTCTGTCTCAAAATAAAGTTAAAAAATATATAAATAAAAATAAATTTTAAAGGCTTTACTAAGACTTATCAAATGAAAATTATACCTGTAATTCTTCCATTTAGTTACCTTGTTTAGACCAGAACACTCAACAAAAGAGTTGGGGACACCTAAATGCTGCTTATTTCATTACACCTTTGCCAATACAACATTTTTTTGACAAAAAGACTTAGCTTATGTGTACCTCAAATCTAGTTGCATTGAAAACATGGAGCTACAGTTTTGGCCTCTCTGATTTATGGAACATGTCCATCGAGTCAGTGGTCCATCCTATGGGGGGAGTATTGAGACTGGTTGAGAATAATTACATGTGTTTGTAGGGGGAAAATTTATAACTTTCTGAATTTGGGTTACCCATTAGAGAGCTAGAGACCTTCCCCCTCCCCCAAGACTAGGTTTCCTTAACTAAGTACAATAAAGCAATGAGAGATTGGAAGCTCTTCATGCATTGGATGATTTGAGGAATCATCAAAGGAAGCTTCACCTCCACTTGGTGTGTGGGACTGTCTGGACCCTAGGTCAGTGCATCAAGAGGAAGATTTGGGATAGGGAGTGAATCTGTAACTGGGCACAAGGGTGCAAGAGCACTGGCTCCGGGTGTTCAAAACACACCAGTTTCGGCCACTCACCACTGACAAAATGCAAAAGCAGAGAGACAAGGGGGTGGTGAAACAGAAAGGAATTTATTTCCAGGAGGCCAACACCGGGAAAACAGTGGACTAGCGTCTGAAAAGGGATTTACAAAGTGCTGAAAATAGAGATTTGTATAAGGAAAATGTGGGACAAAGGTCGGTGAGTACAGACAGATGGACAGTAAAGGTCAAGTCTATCCTGGTCTTGGGGTCAGTCACTTGGGGGTCTTGCAGGCCCAGGGCAGTCCTCACTGCCTGAGGGGGTGGTTTCTGAAGGCAGCCTTTTGCCAGACGTTAACAGATACGCAGGAAAGAACTTCATCCATTAGAAAGTACAGACTGAGGTCAAAATGGAGGTATTTGAAGCCCTCTTTCAAATCAGGTTGTCTTGTGGAACTGGGACACTTGAGCTGGGAACGGATTTCCTTCAAGCTTCTGGGTTTGCCTAGCCCTACGGGAATCCTGGATACGCACTGCGATTAGAAGACCGTTGTGGTTTAGACCTGGGCGTGGTATCAGCAGTAAATCTTTACAAATTGCTTCTGTTTTTTGCTCCACTCAGGGTTTCTCCCTTCTCTTAATGAGGTGTTACCATTTTTATTTCCTTTGCCAATCATCCAGTTCATTAAAGTTTTTGAATTTATAAACGTGATACATAAGATTCTCTGAAAGTCATTCACAGTCATAATTCATAATATAGTTATTTTTGATTTAGCTATACATAATGCGCTTTTAACCATCTTTATGTTCATATTAATTAATGACCGTGAAATAAAACAGCTATAAAGGACTAATAGTATTAATTTATACAGATCAGTAAGACAGTTCAACAAGAAAAACGATGTAGCAGGTAATTCACAGAATACTAGGAGACGACAAACACGAAAGTCTACTTAACCTCATTAATAATCAGCAGCTCCAAATTAAAACAGTACGATCCCCGTCCATCCACTCGGCAAATATTTAAGGCCAAAAGTGTGGGTGAGGAGGGGTGTGTCCAGGGCTATTTTTCCTGCTAGGACTCGGTTAATAGCGTGGAGTCTACATTTTTAATTTCCAGGATGATAGTTTCCTGGGTATGAGGGGGACACTTGGTAAACATTTGCCATAGATACCCGATACTGACAGCCGACATACGTTTTTTTATTCTCAAAGCGACATTAATGGAGCTGAAATGGAAACGTAGCAGAGTCCTTTTGATTCTAACGGTTTTACATACAAGTGTAAAACTCGTAATTGTCCGTTAACTGTGGGCAACAGTTGATAGGCAACAACAAGAACTTGAGCCTGGAACTCAGGGGCAGAGGCTTTCCCGAAGACACTAGGGCTGACACCGTGGGACAAAAAAGCAGGGTCAACTGCCTTCTAAACAGACTGAGGATGGGGACCACTCGGGCAGAGGATGCAAAATGGCGCCCGGGAGCTTCGTGGGCGTGGCCTCGAGCTGGGCTCGTCCAATCGGATCGTTCAGGGGCGGAATACTGTCCCAGCTCACCTCCTACCTTGGGGCGGGACTTCCTGGAATTTGCCCCCTTCCATTGGTCGAAAAGGTAATGCTGGGTGTGGGAAAGGCCAATCTCGGCAAGTCTCAGTAGAACGGTCGCCTTAGCAACGCGCGGAGCCGCCTGGGAGCGGTCTCCGAAGACTGACCCGCGGGTTAGGCTGCCCAGGTGCGGCTGTGACCTCCAGGGATCAAAGGCCGTGTGACTACCAAACCTAGTTATCCGTCCAGCCGCAAGTCCGCGCTCGGAACAGATCGCCTGGCCCTCCGCCTGGACGATCCTGCGTCCAACCTCCTCACCCCGGAACACATTCACTCTACTAACGAAGCTGTCCCTGTTTGTCCCCAGCAGCTTCCAAGTGCCAGATGATGGAGGAGCGTGCCAACTTGATGCACATGATGAAACTCAGCGTCAGAGTCTTGCTCCAGTCTGCCCTGAGCCTGGGCCGCAGCCTGGATGCGGACCATGCCCCCTTGCAGCAATTCTTTGTAGTGATGGAGCACTGCCTCAAACACGGGCTGAAAGGTGAGCCTGAGGGAGCGTTCGGGGGCGTGGGAATTCGGGCCAGCTGTTAGCTCAGCAGGTATTCATCAGTGCAAACAATGTTCTGGGCTCTTGGGATAACAGCAGTGTACAAAACCGGCAGGGTCCCTGCCCTCCAGAGGCGACATTTAGAGAAGCACTGTCTAGTAGAAATACCAGGCAAGCTACATGTGCAGTTTTTAGGGCTCTGATAGCCACGTTTAAAAAAAAAAAAAAAAGTGAAAATAGGTGAAATTACTTTTAAGAACATGATTTATTGTCCCCAGTTTATGCAAAAATATTATGATTTTGACATAATCAGTATTTAAAAGCCTTATTGAGATTTTTACATTCTCTTTTATACTAAGACTTAAAAACCCACTGTGTTTTTTACCTCTGGATTGCACTGGCTACATTTCAAGTTCTCAGTAGCACATGTGGCCACTACCACCTCTGACAGCAGTTCTAGGGGACAGTAAAGGCAGAAACAGACAGTTACAAAGTGCTGCAAATTCAGGGAAGCTACATGGGTTTCCACCAGAGTGGGGAAGGTCTTGCTGGGGAAGTGTGAGCTGAGACCCAAAAGAGACTTAGCCGTGCAGAGATTTGGGGCAAGAGCATTTCTGAGGGGCTGGGGGGAAACAGGTGCAGAAGTCCTGAGTGACACCAAGCTTGGTTTGAGGAAGATGACAGTGGGCTCAGAGGGAGAGTGTGGGGAGATGAGGTCAGAGTAATAGATTGGGGAGGCGGGGGAGGGCAGGATGGTGTAGGCCTTTGTAGGTCATGTGCAGAGTCGGATTTTATCACAAGTGTCTCTGGAGCATTTTAAGCAAGGGAAAAACATGACCGACTTACATTTTTAAAAGAACTTACAAGTGTTTGAACAGATTGTAAGGGTGGGGAGGCGACCATATTGGGAGCAAGGAGACCCATCAGAAGATGATTGGCAGCAGGTCAGATGAGGGGCAAGTGGTGATAATCTGAAATCCATTATTGATTTTTGACGTCCGGTAGGAGGGAGAAAGGGGAAGGCTTTCAACAAGCAATATATATATGAGATACTTGTTTTATTTCATGGGCAGTAAATACTTGGAGGAAGAAGAACATAGTAGGGATATCAGAGAAACCTTGTCACCAGAAGAAGGGAGTATTTACCTGGCATCTCGGAGTCCCCGAGACAATCAGGATGAAGTGGTTAGAGCTGTGCAATTGTGTGTTTGGCTTTTGGGAGAGAGACTGGGCACCCGAAGACAGCTCGCAACCTGTTCTTATCAATAACACTTTTGTTTTCCTTTTTAGTCAAGAAGAGTTTTATTGGCCAAAATAAATCTTTCTTTGGTCCTTTGGAGCTGGTAGAGAAACTTTGTCCAGAAGCATCAGATATAGCCACCAGTGTCAGAAATCTGCCAGAATTAAAGTGAGTGAGAAGCAGTTACACTGATTTAATGTTAAAAAAACAAAACCAAAACTCTGTATTTACCTATTTCTCAGTTACTTTCTGATAAAACTTTTTCTAATTTAGAACACATCGTAGCATGAGCCACACTCTACTTAGACTTTAGTTCCAGCCCTGCTGCTTATTATCCTCAAGATTTTCAGCCAGATTTGCCCCTCTCTGAGCCTCAGTTTCCTTATCTTTAAAATGGGTACAGCGATTCCTGCATGTCCCACAAAGTCACATAGTTTGAAAAGATGTTGTGGGGCACCTGGCTGGCTCAGTCAGTAGAGCATGCAACTCTTGATCTCAGGGTCATGAGTTCAAGCCCCATGGTGAGTGCAGAGATTACTTTAAAAAAGAAAAGGTGAGGACGCCTGGGTGGCTCAGTCGGTTAAGCATCCGACTTCGGCTCAGGTCATGATCTCACGGTTTGCAGGTTTGAGCCCTGCATTGGGCTTTGTGCTGACAGCTAGCTCAGAACCTGGAGCCTGCTTCGGATTCTGTGTCTCCCTCTTTCTCTGACCCTCTCCTGCTCACGCTGTCTCTATCTCCCTCTCAAAAATAAATAAGACATTAAAAATTTTTTAAAAAGAAAGGAAAGGTGTTGTCACCTGAGGAGCGGTTACAGGAGTGAAAGGAGTCCTTGTCCCACTCCTGGGAATCCGTGCTTCACATACAACTGGGCACCTTTCTGAATAGTATAGTTGGGGCCAGATTTTAGATTCTGGGATGTGGGACGTTTGTGAAAAGGTGAGACTGACAAATCATTTCCCATGTGTGGGTTTGCCTCGGGATTCCCCGTGCATAGGCTCAAAATAAAAAACTGGACAGAATACAAACGAGGCGTCATCATGAAACTTGGATTTAGAAGGGGACCTAGAGACCCCTGGGCTGATAGAAAAGGGCACCCTGCAGTCTCCCGCAGGGGGACACGGCTCTCCAGCCTCCGATGCTTCTCCTCTGGACCCAGCCTGTTCCATTTTGAGATAATGATGATAGCCAGAGTTTGCTTAGGGCCCCCGTGTGCCGGACGTTGTGCTAAGGATATTTCAGGATCTTGTTTAATCCCGCGCATCAAGCCTCTGGGAGAGCTGTTGGAATTCCCAATGATAAGTACAGAAACTGAGACTGAGTAGCTAACTGTCCTGCCCAAGGTCCCTTGGCAAGTGAGTAGCGGAGCCAGGAAGAGAGCACAGGTCTGCAGGACTCTGGAACCTTCTAAAGCCCATTGACCTCCATTGCTACACATTGCTACAGCCCTGTGCCATCGTGTCAAGATGAAATTTAAGCCTCTGTCCCTGTCCCCAGTTCAGCCCTCTGGGCTTGTATCACAGAAGGTGAAAGCCTTTTGCACATGACAACCTTCAAATGCGTATTTGGTGACCTCTCTGGAACTTCCCTTCTGTCTTCTGCTTTGCTTCATACTTAGGTGGTCCTGTTTGCCCACCCTTTCCGACCAGCTCACCCCCTCAGGAGTGAAGCAGCTAGACTGAGTCCCCTCGTGTTCAGATCGGAGTAGAACTCCTACTACGCTCAGACCCGTTTCCAGTTATGCATGGGAGGCATTTTTGAAGCCTTATGCGAACAAAGAGCTCACTGTCAGCTAAACCCACTACCTCTGTTCCCTTATTAACTCTGGCTGCTAAACAGGCTTAGGTACCAAAATCCTACCCTGTCTGCCAAAGAGGAAATATACAATAGTTCCCTTTTCTCGATGCCTCCAGGAGTAGCCTCATGGGCTGCGTGGGAAAGGGCTTTTTTTTTTTTTTAACTATTTCATTAAATAGAATTGAAAGTTAAAAATTTTTGGTATTATTTTGGAAGTTGTGACTAGTGTTTTTTGGGAGTTGAAGGGGATTGTTTAAGGTGGTTTGAAACTTGCAGGATGAATTTGCATCCTGAGAGTAATCTCTCTAGAGTATAGTTCCCCTGTCTAATTAAAATGAAAATATCAGGGCAGGGCGCCTGGATGGCTCAGTGGGTTAAGTGTCAGAGTGTTGATTTCAGCTCAGGTCATGATCTCACATGAGATGGAGCCCCGCATCAGGCTCCACACTGGGTATGGAGCCTGCTTAAGATTCTCTCCTTCTCTCTCTGCCCCTCCCCCCCATGAATGAATGAATGAATGAATGAATGAAAATATCTTTTGCGTTATGACTTGTCACCCAGAATTTTTCTTTCTTTTTTTTTTTTTAAAAGTTTTATTCCTCTGAGAAAAAGTAAATGGGAGAGAGACAGAGAGAGAGAGGGAGAAGAGAGAGCCCCAAGCAGGCTCCATACTGCCAGCACAAAGCTGGATGTAGGGCTCAAACCCACAAATCATAAGATCATGAACTGAGCCAAAGTCGGAGGCTTAACCACTGAACCGAACACCCAGGCGTCCTCAGAATTTTTCATTGTTTTCAGATTATGGTTTTTCATCACACACATTGTGTATGTTTACACAATGAATACTGATTTTGCATATTGGCACTTAAGCACAGACTTCTCTTTCTCATTTTTGAATATTAAAAATAACTTTTTTCCTTATGACCTGATTTTTAGGAAATAAAAAGCAAGCAAAAAAGACGCTTCTATCACCCACTGAGAAAAAAAAAAAAAAGTTAATATTCTGGTCAGTGTTCTTACAGATCCTTTCAGTGCATCGTCAAATAGATAAGATTTTCTTTTTAAATAGGCACCAGGCCCAGCATGGAGCCCAACATAGGGCTTGAACTCCAAACCCTGAGTTCAAGACCTGAGGTAAGATCAAGAGTCAGACGCTTAAGCAGCTGAGCCACCTGGGTGCCCCAATAAGATTCTATATTTATTCTCCTCACTGCCCCTACCCCCGATGGCATCGTATTGCCCTCATTCTGACAGAGGAGAGTTTGCCACTATCCACCAAAATTAACACTGCATCTGCACTTTGACCCAGCAGCCCCTGTTCTCCGTGCATCGTCCTATAGATCTGCCAGAAATGACACCAGGACAGAATTATCTACTGAAGCATTATATGTGATGAGAAATGGCCTACCTAGCAGCTAGCTGAATAAATAATGATGCAATCTACTAGTAAAACAACGTAAAGCCATCAAAAAAAATCCACAGACATTCCTTGTGTGTAGAAAGAATTTCAAAACGTCAAAAGGCATTTGACACGCTAGGCAAGTTGCAGGACAGCAGGTGTCACATGCCAATCTTTTTTTGGTGAAAAGCAGATAATTTTGTTTTCGTGTGTGTAAAAACCGTTTTAGAAGTGAACCTGAACCCAGAACATTGTACTAATGTTTGTGGAAGAGGAACAAAGGAAAAAAATGAGTACTAAACTGTACACATTTCTTTTCTTTTTTTTTTTTTTAATGTTTTATTTATTTCTAGGAGAGAGACAGCATGAGCAGGGGAGGGTCAGAGAGAGAGGGAGTGACAGACTCTGAAACAGGCTCCAGGCTCTGAGCTGGCAGTCAGCACAGAGCCCGACGCGGGGCTCGAACCCACGAACTGTGAGATCATGACCTAAGAGAAAGTCGGACGCTTAACCGACTAAGCCACCCAGGCGCCCCTAAACTGTACACATTTCTGTAGCCTTTTTTCCATTTAGTCCTAGATTCTGAGCCTCTTTCCGGATACAATATTCATCCACAGCATCATTTTTGAGACCGCCACATAGCAATCTGTTGTAAAGCTCATTTGTTTAACGCCCCTTTGGATTTTGTACTTGTCTTCAGTTTTCCATTATCCAAAGAGTGCAACGGACCATCCCCAAGCATAGGTTTTTAAGTGCATCCTTAGGACACATTACTAGATGCACAATTTTGATAACCTGCGATCATCAAGTCGCCGGCCCCAAGCGCTGTGCTGGTTTATTTCCTGCCGCGCCACACATGTCGGTGTCCATTTTTCACATCATACCTGCATTCAGTGCCTTTTTTTCTTCTACCTCATTTCCTCTCCTTTTTACTTTTGTTTTTGTTTTATTTATTTATTTTGAGAGAGCGAGCCTGAGTGGGGGAAGGGCAAAGGGAGAATCCCAAGCAGGCTCAGTGCAGAGCCCAGTGCGGAGCCCGAAAGCACAAGGCACAAACCGTGAGATCGTGACTGGAACTCAAGAGTCAGATGCTTAATTGACTGAGCTGTGCAGGTGCCCCTCCTTTTTTCTCTGGTTTATTATCATTTGGGGGAGTGAGGGCTTCAAATCCTTTCATATTGATGGAGTTGGATTAACCCTTACAGGCCTGGCTCCTGAAAGCACACAGGGTGCCCAGCCAGGCTTTTGGCCTCGACAGCTCCCTTTGAGGCTGATTTCAGCAATGGCTCTACTACTTTCTTGGAGGTCACAAATGCAGTTACTCTTCTGAGAACAGAATCTTTTCTTCAGCAGTGTTAGGTCTACAGTTGGGAAGGCTTTTTGTTTTGATGTTTAAAAGAAATTTCTTTTTTTTTTTGAGAGAAGAGACTGAGTGCGGGTGGGGGAGGGGCAGAGAGAGAGGGAGACACAGAATCCGAAGCAGGCTCCAGGCTTCAAGCTGTCAGCACAGAACCCAGTGCGGGGCTCGAACTCAGGAACCTCGAGATCATGAGCTGAGCCATGGTCTGATACTTAACCGACTGAGTCACCCAGGCGCCCCTGTTCTGATGTTTAAAGCAGGCCTTTTCAAAACTGCATCTTTGAGATTGGTTGCACAATGCTGGGAATGTACTAAGGACTACTGAAGTGTATGTGTAAAAAGGTAAATTTTATGTTCTGTGTGTTTTGCCACAACTAAAAATAAAATTGCACCTTTTTTATGTTTATTTATTTTTGAGAGACAGAGAATGCAGATGGTGGAGGGCAGAGAGAGGGTGAGAGAGAATCCCAAGCAAGCTTTGCACTGGCAGCGCAGAGCCCAATGAGGGGCTCAAACCCACAAGCCATGAATCATGACCTGAGCCAAAATCCAGACACAAACACCTAACCAACTGACCCACCCAGGCACCCCTGAAATTACACCTTTGAGCTAGTACCTTAGAAATGTGAGACTTTAACACCTTAACAAACACCATGTTCTATAGATTAATCTTTCAAAAACTATGTCTGGCATACAAACTTCGTCTGGTATTTCCTGGCCCCCTGTGAAATTTTATGAATATATGCAAAGGTTTATCTAACTGTATTTGTTCCAGAAATCAGAAATTTGAGGCTTAAGAGTGTTTTTATCTTTTTATCTTGTCAAAACAGGCAGCTCTTCCTGCCCATGGCTCCTGTCCCCATGCTTTAATAAAACCACCTTTTTGCACCAAAAAAAGAAGCAAAAAGTACATGTCCATGATACAGAATTCAAACTGTACCCAAAGGTTTACAAGAGAGCTGTTTTCTGGGCCTTCCCAGATGGCATGCTCCACCCAACCCCCAAAGCCACTATTCTTACACTGTTCTCTGCGTGCATGTACATGTGTAGTATGTGTATCTCTTTAGCTAAAGTGGGGCTCGGGGGGGTTTTGGTGTTAACGCCTTAACAGTTTGATGCTCTGAATTCTAGGACAGCTGTGGGAAGAGGCAGAGCCTGGCTTTATCTTGCACTCATGCAAAAGAAACTGGCAGATTATCTGAAAGTGCTTATAGATAATAAACATCTCTTAAGGTATTTTTTTACCTCCTATATTTGCTTGTCTTTTGCTCTGTAAATAATTAGAATATAGGTCTGCAGATCGTTTAGAATCTACAATGTACACAGCTTTTATTTGAATTATTATTAATTGTAAATATCCTGCAGCTTAATTCTAAGATTGTTTCAATTTTTTTTTCATTTTCAATATTTGTTTTTGAGAGACAGAGAGACAGTGCATGAGAGGGGAAGAGGTAGAAAGAGAGAGAGATACGGAATCTGAAGCAGGTTCCAGGCTCTGAGCTGTTAGCACAGAGCCCAATGCAGGGTTTGAACCCACAAACTGTGAAATCATTACCTGAGCCAAAGTCGGATGCTTAATTGACTGAGCCACCCATGTACCCCAAGAGTATTTCCATTTTTAAGCGCAGATATCTGAAAGTCCTTATGAATGAAGAGTCATGCTTTTCATTTTGAAAAGTCATTTCGGAGTTCATTCTTCAAAAATCCCTGTGATTAGGTAATTGACAGCCTACGTGGTTAAACTTCAACAAAATGCAATTTATTAGACTTGTTGATAACAGGGGAAAAAATTACTTTAAAACTAGGTGCAGTGGGCAACTTTAAAGTACAAAATCCTGCTTTTTTCAAGAGAACATACCTATATTACCTATCTTAGGATTCTATATCCAGTTTGTAAAATTTTATATCTCTCAGCATCAATAATGACTAACTGGCTGTCTGTGAAATTTATGACTGGTTCATTTTTTTTAGAAAATTTTAATGTTTGTTTATTTTGAGAAAGAGAGAGAACAGGGGAGGGGCAGCACCATTGACTGTATTCCCCATGGTGTACCTTTCATCCCTATGGCCTGGCGCACTGATTCTTAAGACGATAAGTTCTCCTGCGCCCATGCACACACAGCTGGTAAACTGGCACATCACTGGTGACCAGGAGCAGTAGTAGGCAAGGGCTGAGACCCCACTACAAATGACTGAGGTGACTCGGGAGGTGAGAAAATAAAAGCAACCAGTGTGGCTCTGTGGGACACAGGGAAGAGGGAAGAGTTTTCTTCTTGGATTGGGGGGCTGTGGAATCCTGTTTCCAGCTGACATGAGTGTAGAAATAGTTTCCCACAGTGCGAAAGAAGGAGCCTGCGGGACGGGAAGGGCAGAGTGGTGATGGTCAGGAACACAGGAGCCAAGGCGAGGTGAGAAGGACCAGGGTCCAGGGTCTAGATGGAAGAGTCAGCCTTAGACTGGAGGTGGGTGGAGCCTGTTCTCAACCACAGGAAGAGGAGAGAGGCCAGAGAAGAAATGGCAGCACCTGAAGCAGGTGTGCGGGGCCGGGGAGGGAGAGTAGGAGGAAAGGCAGAAGGAAATGGACACTAGGGAGTTTCTGGCTTCTGGTGAAGCTGGCTGGCTGGCTGGCAGTGGAGAGGTTAAAAGGCAGGGCAGGGCAGGAAATGGGGTGGTGAGCATCCCTTCCTGAGCAATCCCCCGGCTGTGTCGATCTCTTTCAGTGAATTCTATGAGCCTGAGGCCCTGATGATGGAAGAGGAAGGGACGGTGATTGTCGGTCTGCTGGTGGGACTCAATGTTCTTGATGCCAATCTCTGCTTAAAAGGGGAAGACTTGGATTCTCAGGTAAAACGGCAATCTTGGCTCTGGGTGGAATGCCTTCTTTGGGCCAGGGGTTTTCCAGAAGATCTGTGGACATGGGCTGAACCTAAGAAAGGGGCAAATGGCAGAGGGTGTCTGCTGGAAGGTGGTGCCAGGTGCTGTGCTGGGCAGAGGGGGAGGCCCCCAGGGAAGGGGACAGAGGCACAAGAAATGAAGGTGGAGGCTGGGCTTAGTTTCCAGGCCATCAGTGTCCTGCCAGAGGGTTTGGCTGTTGTCCCTGGAGCTTTGAGAGGCCACCCAAGGGCTGCCTGGGTGGCTCAGTGAAGCATTTTGACTCTTGATTTCGGCTCAAGTCATGATCTACACAGTTCGTGGGTTTGAGGTTTTTAAGCAGCGTGCTGGAATGATCAGGCCCAGGTTTGAAAAAGGTCAGTGTGGCAGCCACCCGGGTCATAAGTTTAGAAGCAGCCAAGAATGGAGACGGCAAAAACACTGAGCAAAGCCCCAAAGCCTGGATGGGGACTGGAAAGGTAGAGTCAGGAGAGAGTTGGGGAGTGAGATGATGGGGGCAAATGAAAGCAGGCAGCAGGACCAGAGTGCCCCGAGGGGTGAGACAGCCCTCTTGGGAGGGAGGCTTTCTCCCCGCGTGGGAGCAGATGACCAGGGCTAAGGCCTACGCCCCTGGTGGCAGTGGCTTTAAGTGTGTGACGAGATGCCCCGACCCATCCCCACCTCTACCCCCTCTGGGGCATCTGTGGCTGTGGCTGGGCCACAGCCCGGCCTTCTTCCTGCCGTAAGTTTGGATCTGAAGAATCTAAAGCCGCCTCTAATCCCTCCATGCCCAGGTCAGCTTGGTTTGGTTTGGTTTGGTTTCTTATAACCTCTCCTCCCTTTTTTCCCCCAATAGTTTTAGTGTTTTTGCATGTTGAAAATTTTTCAAAAAATACAGAGAATTTCAAACTTTGTTTGAAAAGAAACAAAACTTCACACATGATCCCATTGTTCAGAGACTAATTGAGTGTTACATTTTGATATCTATCCCTCCAGCGTGTATGTTTATATATTTTATTAGGGGTATTTAGACTTTTTTTTTTGAAACCAAAATATGATTATTCCAGGCACACCATTTTGTAATGTTGTTTATTTCACACTATGTCCCACATAGCTCTCAATGTCAGTAGAAATATAAACCATTTATTTACTTTTAGCTTGTTTTATTCATTTTGAGAGTATGCACATGCACAGAAGCAGGGGGTGGTGGTGGGAGGAGCAGAGAGGGAGAGACAGAAGCGCAAGCAAGCTCTGCATTATCAACGCTGAGCCCTATATGGGGCTCAAACTCACAAACAGTGAGCTCATGACCTGAGCCAAAATCAAGAGTCGGACGCTTAACCAACTGAGCCATCCAGGCACCTTGAGATATAAGCCTTTTTTTTTTTTTTTTTTTTAAGCTTATTTGTTTTGAGAGAGAGCATGGGTGGAATAGGGGCAGAGAGAGGGAAAGAGAATTCCAAGCAGGCTCTGCGCTGACACAAAGCAGAGCGCAATACCAGGCTCGAACCCGTGAACCGTGAGATTGTGACCTGAGCTGAAATCAAGAGTCAGACGCTTAATCAACTGAGTCACACAGGCACCCTGATATATAAACCATTTAAATGACTGCATAGTACAAGCACATCTCAGAGATACTACAAATTCAGTTCCAGACCTCTGCGGTACAAGTGAGTATCTCAGTAAAGTGAGTCATGGGGGGGTTTTTTTGGTTTGGATTTGGTTTCGGTTTCCCAATCCATGTACAACTTACGTTTATACTGTAACCTATCAGGTGTGTGATTTGATAACATCATATCTAAAAATGGAAATAAATAATAAAAATAAGGTAAATAAATAAAAATGAATGTTCATACTTTAAATATTTCATTACTGGAGTGCTGGGGTGGCTCAGTCAGTTAAGTGTCTAACTTTGGCTCAGGTCATGATCTCGCAGTCTGTGAGTTCGAGCCCTGCGTCAGGCTCTGTGCTGACAGCTCGGAACCTGGAGCCTGCTTCGGATTCTGTGTCTCCCTCTCTCTCTGCCCTCCCCCACTCACACTCTGTCTCTCTCTCTCTCTCTCTCTCTCTCAAAAATATTTTTTTAAAAATTAAAATATTTCAGGGGCACCTGGGTGGCTCAGTCGGTTAAGTGTCCGACTTTGGCTCAGGTCATGATCTCACAGTTCATGGGTTTGAGCCCCGTGTCACGTTCTGTGCTGACAACTCAGAGCCTGGAGCCTGCTTCAGATTCTGTGTCTCCCTCTCTCTCTCTGCCCCTCCCCCACTTGTACTTGGTCTCTCTCTGTCTCAAAAATAAATAAAGTATAAAAAATTGTTTTTAAAAAAAAATTAAAATATTTCATTGCTGAAAAATGCTAACCATCATGTCAGCTTTCAACAAGTCATAGTCACCGATCACAGATCATCATAACAAATGTAGTAATAGGAAAAGTTTGAAATACATGATCACCAAAATGTGACACAAAGACATGAGGTGAGCAAATGCTGATGGGAAAATGATGCTGATAGACTTCCCCAACACGTGGTTGCCACATGCCTTCAATTTGTAAAAAACGGAATGTCTGTGAAGTACAATAAAGCAAAAGGCAATAAAATGAGGTATGCCTGTATTCTGCTTTATGAATGTGCCATAATTTATTTAACCAGTACCTCATAAACTTAGGTTGATTCCATATTACAACAGTATTATAAACACCCTCATACTTCTTTGTACTGTTGTCCATTGATTTCCTTAGGATAAATTTGGGGACTACTGTGTCACAGTAAACATTCTACATGAGTATGGTGATGTCATGATGGGTTTTCTTGGTCTTTTTCAATCTGATAGACAAAAACAGCTCATCTCAAATTTGCTTTTTTTTTTTTTTTCTAGGAGAGAGAGAGAGAGAGACAGCGTGAGCAGGGGAGGGTCAGAGAGAGAGGGAGTCACAGACTGAAACAGGCTCCAGGCTCTGAGCTGGCAGTCAGCACAGAGCCCGAAGCGGAGCTCGAACCCACGAACTGCGAGATCATGACCCAAGCGAAAGTCGGACGGTTAACTGACTAAGCCACCCAGGCGCCCCTCAAATTTGCTTTTTTTTAAATGTTTTATTTATTTCTGAGAGAGACACAGACAGCGTGAGCAGGGGAGGGTCAGAGAGAGAGGGAGACACAGAATCTGAAATGGGCTCCAGGCTCCGAGATGTCAGCACAGAGCCCTATGTGGGGCTTGAACCCACAAACCGTGAGATCATGACCTGAGCCGAACTTGGATGCTTAGCCGACTGTGCCACCCAGGCACCCATCAAATTTGCATTTTTTAATAAACATTTTTTCAATGTTTATTTATTTTCAAGAGAGAAAGAGCATGAACAGGGGAGGGGCAGAGAGAGAGGGAGTCACCAAATCTAAAGCAGGCTCCAGGCTCTGAGCTGTCAGCACAGAGTCCAATATAGGGCTCAAACTCACGAACTGTGAGATCATGACTTGAGCCAAAGTTGATCACTTAACTGACTGAGCCATCCAGGCGCCCCCTAAACATGTTTTTATTTTTAAAAGTAGGCTCTGGGGTGCCTGGGTGGCTCAGTCAGTTAAGCAGCTGACTCCTGATTTCGGCTCAGGTTATGATCCCACAATTTTGTGAGTTTAAGCCCTGCATCAGGCTCCACACTGACAGCGAGGAGTCTGCTTGAGATTCTTGCTCTCTCTCTGCCTTTACCCCACTCTCTCTCAATAAATAGGCTTAAAAATGTGTAAAATATACATAAAAATAAATATATTCTAAAAATAAATGAAAGTTGAGGCGCCTGGGTGGCTTAGTCAGTTAAGCATCTGGCTTTCGCTTAGGTCATGATCTTGCGGTTCATGGGTTCGAGCCCCGCGTCGGGCTCTGTGCTGACTGCCAGCTCAGAGCCTGGAGCCTATTTCAGAGTCTGTATCTCCCCCTCTCTCTGACCCTCCCCTGCTCATGCTGTCTCTCTCTCTCTCCTAGAAATAAAATTTAAAAAAAAATAAAAAAATAAAAAATAAATAAATAAATAAATGAAAGTAAGCTCTATAGCCAACATGGGGCTTGAGAGAGAGTGAATTCTAAGCAGGCGCCACACCCAGTGAGAAGCTGGACACGAGGCTCGATCTCACAACCATGAGACCATGACCTGAGCCAAAATCAGAAGCCACCCACATGCCCCTTAGGACAATTTTTTAGTCATTTATCTTTTTCCAGAAGTCATTTATTTCATTCAAGTCTGTTGGTTATAAGAGAGTATTCTCTTACAGCTTCTTAAAATCTTGCTCTTCTCATTAGCAATGTTGTGCACTTGCTAAATCTTGATTATATTTGATGGAGATTTGTCTGCTATGTTGAATTCGAAGAAACAGCTTTTGCATTTGATCTTTTGCTCTTGATCTCTTCTGCTTTAAGAGGAGGGCTTTATTTAGTTTCTGATCCAATAATGTCTACTTTGAGTATTAACCGTCTCTCCTTTCTATTGAGGGTCTTTTGCAGTTAGGAAATGTACTTTTTAAATTAAATTTTATTGGGGCGCCTGGGTGGCTTAGTCGGTTAAGTGTCCGACTTTTGCTTAGGTCATGATCTCGCGGTTCGTGGGTTCGAGCCCCGCGTCGGGCTCTGTGCTGACTGCCATCTCAGAGCCTGGAGCCTATTTCAGAGTCTGTATCTCCCTCTCTCTCTGACCCTCCCCTGCTCACGCTGTCTCTCTCTCTGCTAGAAATAAATAAAAATATTTTTAATTAATTAATTAATTAGATTTTATTTTTGTAAGTTTTTTTTTTTTTTGGAGTAATCTCTACACTCAGTGTAGAGTCTACACCCAATCAAGAGTCACATGCTCTACTGACTGAGCCAGCCAGGCGCCCCCTATTTATTTTTATTTAATTTTATTACAAAAGAAATGCATGCTTGCTTTAAAGTTCTTTCGGAAGCATATCAAGTGAAGAATGAAATTCAGACTCCTCTCCTCCCCTCCCGCCTCAATCCTGTTCATCCCCACGGATAGTGGTAAAATTTAAGGGGAAAAAAAATCTCTCTAGAAACAGTTCCACTTTTTCTATGCATTTCTGTCTATGTGGGTTTTGTTTCATATTAAATCCTTTCTTGCTTCCATTTCTGGGTAACGAATCAACAGCCAGGTAACCAATAGCAGTCACTGTATCTCAGGGGTTGGCTGGGCAGAGAGAGGCTTCTGGATTAAGAGCTCTGTGATTGCAGCCAGGTTAGCGGCCAGGGCAGCCATCACTGAAGGCCTCTTGTCCTGCTTGTCCGTCTTCTGGGCTGAGAAGGTTCAGGAAGCTGGGACTGGAACAGCAGACGCTTCTCAGGCACCCCTGTCCTCATGTGGTCTCTCCATTTGGTGTCCAGTGTGGTGGCTTCAGGGTAGCCAGACTTCTTTCGGGGATGCTCAGAGCTTCAGCATTATATGCCCTTTTGGGAAGAGCCAGGAAGAAGCTTGTGTTGCCTCCATTAATGTGACTGCAGAAGTCACAGCATCATTTCTGCTGCTTTTTTACTCAAGACAGACACTAAGGCTGCCCAGGTTCAAGGGTCGGGAATGTAGGTTGGTGGGTAGTGCGACAGAGAAGTTGGAGAAATTCTCACATGGCTGTGGTTTTAACGTAAGTGGTGTCACTGTAAAGGGTTAATGCTGTACATACCACTCTGGGATGTCCCATTTTCTCCTGGAGCTGTCTTCCTGTCATTATGTCATTATACATGCCACCCACTGCATTCTTTGTGATGGGTGCATGGGGCTATTACAGAATTGATACACATTTCTCTGCTGATGGGCCCCGTTTTCCCAGTTTTCATCTCCCTTGCTCTGTGCCCCTCCCCCACTTGCACTCAGTCTCTCTCAAAAATAAAATTAAAGAACATTTAAAAACTTATAAAAAATAAAAAGAAGTGCCTCCACTTACACAGTAGTGGACAGTGGCAGACCAGGCTCTCATTCTCTCTCAAGGTCTCTATTTCTGGACAAAGCCCTTGACATTCAGATGCGAGAGGCTCTGGTTCTCCCTTGTTTACAACGGCAGAGGATTTTCCCTGGAAAATGGGATGGGACTATTTCACCACAAATTTCCCCTATTTCCTTTAGGGGAAGGAAGGGGTCAGAATGTCAGTTAAGATTACCCACCACCTTAGTTTAGCCATCCAGGCTTCTTTTTTTTTTTTTTTTTTTTTTTCCTCCCTTTAAAGAGAGCATGAGCAGGTGACAGACAGAGAAAAGGAGCCTGGAGGGACAAATGACCTGAAGCAGACTCTGCTTTGACAGCGCAGAGCCTGATGCGGGGCTTGAACTCATGAACCTTGAGATCATGACCTGAGCCAAAGTTGGATGCTTAACTGACTGAGCCACTCCGGTGCCCCCCTCTTTTTTTTTAATTACTCTGTATGTACTCAAAGAACTTTGTTGATCTTTGTGAACAACTTGATTATTGTTTACATACAAAAAACTAATTTTGATGAGGAGGTAAAACTTCAGAATATTCCCTTAAATCCTGATTTGTGATAAGTTTTTTTTTTTTCTAGAAGGTGGCAGGGTTATCTTTCTCTTGGTTTGTTTGTTCAGTTGATTACTATTTTATAGAGGTGGTCAGTCCAACTAAATGTTTGTAGGAAGGAGACAGGAAGGTAAATGCCCTGAATTTTAAAGATGTAAGGTTTGTAGAAAACAGAAAAGTTTCTCTTATTTAATACCTGTACATTTTATGTTGATCAGGTTGGAGTGATCGATTTTTCCCTCTACCTTAAGGATGTGCAGGATCTCGATGGTGGCAAAGAGTAAGTACTGCATTGCCTGCTGCTGTTCCACATCTTAAATGAAATTCTGGCGAAGAATGCTCCGTTTTCTTTTTGCTTTGTTCGACCTTTTCATTTTCAGCAGGTATTTTTTAGTCACAGAGGAAATACATGAATATGGGCATTGTGCAAGGAACCAAGCTCTGCAGGGTAGAAAGGACTGTCCCCATTCACACTGCCCCCTCATATCCAGCTCAATCCCATGCCTGCTCCTCCTCAGAGGAAGCTGCTCATGGCTCCTTCCACATCTTTCTTAAATGCCTTGCAGGTATATATTTATTGGTCATATAATTTGCCTTACGGTTTGTTTGAATATAAGTGGGATGGTAGCATTTTATATATATATATTGCCCTTGGACTCATTCTTTGATCCTGTGTGTCTTTGCTGTCCCTCCCTGCCATGCGTAGCTCTTCTTCCTGTTTATGAACAAGAGCATTCTTTTTCTTTCTTTTTTTTTAAATAATTTTTTTATGTTCATTTATTATTGAGACAGAGAGAAACAGAGCATGAGTGGGGGAGGGGCAGAGAGAGAGGGAGACACAGAATCTGAAACAGGCTCCAGGCCCTGAGCTGTCAGCACAGAGCCCAATGAGGGGTTTGAACCAATGAACCATGAGATCATGACCTGAGCTGAAGTCAGATGCTTAACCGACTGAGCCACCCAGGCACCCCAATAAGAACATTCTTTTAAAGGAGTCACTGGGGGGTAGAAAAAAAGTAAACAATGTATATAACATGCTACCATTGGAGTTATGGTGAAGACAGTACATCCACATTTATATGTTGTGCTTCCACAGGCCTGGACCATTTCAAGAGTGGCACGTAGACACCTACTGACAGTGGCTGTTCTGGGTGGGGAGAGGCCAGGAGGCAGGCATGGGAGGGAGTTTCACTGTAAACCCTTGGGTTGTGTTTGAATATTTTACCATTTGTTACCTATCTTTTTTTTTTTTAATGTTTTATTTATTTTTGAGAGAGAGAGAGACAGCGTGAGCAGGGGAGGGTCACAGAGAGAGGGAGATACAGAATCTGAAGCAGGCTCCAGGCTCTGAGCTGGCTGTCAGCACAGAGCCCAACACAGAGCTCGAACCCACAAACTGAGATTATGACCTGAGCCGAAGCTGGACGCCCAACTGACTGAGCTACCGAGGCGCCCCTGTTATCTGTCTTTCAGATGTGTTCTTGATAAGGGCTCCCACAAGCTCAATGTCCTAGCAGCACACCTTATCCGGCAGGGGGTACCCCACAAATGCCTCAGGCTTCTTGAGTACAAAGATTCACCCACTTTGAAACTTAGACAAAAATATTCTTTTTTTCCTTTAACATTTATTTATTTTGAGAGAGAGAATGCACATGAGCACGAGTGGGGATGCGGGCACAGAGAGAGGAAGAGAGAGATTCCCAAGCAGGCGCTGCATTGTCAGCACAGAGCCCGATGTGGGGCTTGATCTCGGGAACTGTGAGATCATGACCTGAGCCCAAATCAAGAGTTGGACACTTAACCAACTGAGCCACCCAGGTGCCCCCAAAAATATAATATAAAGAAATGAAAATAAACTGATATCTAATGAGATAACTGAATGAATTACAGAACATTCAAAATATTCCACTTTATATACTAAGGAACAGATTTAACCTACTGGTTATAGTAGACTTAGAGGGGTTTCCACAAGGTGTTATTGAATCAGAAAAGTATGATACTGAGAAGTGTATATACAGCTGAGCCCCCGAACAACACGGGCTTGACCTGCACAAGCCCACTTTTACACAGATACTTTTCAGTAAATATGGTACAGAACTATAAATGTGTTTTCCTTATGATTTCCTTAATAACATTTTACTTAATTTCATTGTAAGGCTATAGTATAAAATACATATACAAAATATGTGTTAGTAGACTATGTAATTGGCAAGGCTTTCATCAACAGTAGGCTATAAGTTCAGTTTTTGGAGAGTCAAAAGCCATATGCAGATTTTCAGTGGTGCAGGGGTTCAGCTTCCCTCACCCCTGCACTGTTTAAGCGTCAACTGTATGTCATTTTTGTAAACAACCCCAATAAATCCCTAACGTATTTTCTATATTTTAATTACATACTGTATCTATCTGTATATAAAACAGATATTATGATCATATGCATATAGGCTCAGCAGACAATATTAACGTGAGTTACCTGAAGAGCTATGTGAAGGGCAGAACAGGTAGCAGAAAACAGTGAACCGTGCTGAGAAACAAATCCAGCACCTGTGGCAAGAACCTGTGGAGAATGATCCCCTGTACGTACATATGTATGTATATATGTAAAGACATTGGGGGCCGGGGGTGGGGATGGGGCCTAACTTTAAAATGTTAAAACAGGGTCGCCTAGGTGGGTCAGTTGGTTAATAATCCCACTTTGGTTCAGGTCATGATCTCACAGTTCATGAGTTTGAGCCCCGCGTCTGGCTCTGTGCTGAAAGCTCAGAGCCTGGAGCCTGCTTCAGATTCTGTGTCTCCATCTCTCTCTCTGCCTCTCTCTCTCTCTCTCTAAAATAAAAAAATAAACATTAAAATAAATTTTTAAAAATATTAAAGTATTTTTGTTTTTACCTGGCTCGTCAGCTTTATGTTTTGAAAAGCCTCTGGTCTCCTTTTTCGAGCCATCCTCTTTCCCTTAGCATCACAGGCTTGATGCTGCCACCTCGAGAGAGGGCCATTTGCACCTGGCCATCGGTGTGTCCACCACGCATGCCATATGGCTTCCTCTCCCCTTCTCAGAGCCCGGCCTGACGGGCAGGAGGGTGTCTGCAGGAAGCCTGCTCATGTCTCCCTGGCTGCTGCCCCCACCACACCGGTGGTCGGCTTTGCGCTACTCACACCAGGACCGGACCAGGCAGACAGTATTACTAAGCTCTGACACTGCTTGGTCTCCTGGTGGTATTGGTACTTCTTCAAGGTGATTGGAAAGTTGGGGGGCGGTTACATGGTACTAGCCATGAATTAAAGGAATCTCTCTTTTTTTCTGCTCTTTTCAAAAGGCACGAAAGAATTACTGATGTCCTCGATCAAAAAAATTACGTGGAAGAACTTAACCGGCACTTGAGGTAGGACTCACTCACTTTTCCAGTGTCACAGTTCAGTCTCGGTACCCGATAATTATTCCATGGAACATTTTTGAATTGCTGTATATTTATAACTGACCTTTTTTCCAAACCCAGTGACAAAGGGCTTTCCTAGAGTGCTTGTGTGTACAGACCAGAAGGGTAGGATTTCTCGATAAGGAGCTTTGGGAGTCTTTGGTTCTTGGCTTCGTGCAGTTAGGCAACGTAGAAAGCAAGCAAATGAAGTCTTGAGCCTCAGCCCTCAGCCCTCAGCCTCCTGGTTGGGAAGTAACTGCCGTGAGGAGCACCGTTCCCGCCGGGGATCCACACACATCCCCCTGGTGTGCCGGGGCACTTGGAAAGGGCTAGACCCCAACAGCGGTTCAGTAGCAATAGCAGGCGTCTTTACTGTCATTTTTTCATTTTAACTGGAAAGCTGCTGCCGTGTTTCAGGAAGCATGAGCCGGTGGAGGTTTGCTCTAAAGTGGTTGGGAGACAGATTATTCCCTGTGTCTCCGAATCCCCTCCGGGCGGGCGGTGCACATTAGCAGTGCATCGAGGGGCAGCTCCTCTGGCCCCCGAAGCCAAGGAGACAGCCAAAGCAGCTGGCACGGTTCGCAGAACGTGCCTGGAGACAGTTGCTCCGAGTTCTCCTGCAGCATGATGTTGGCTGTTGGTTTCAGAGATCCTTGATAGATCCCTCATTTATGGGCTGGTTTTATAAGGAAGAGATGTCAGATTTCCTCAGGTGCCTTTAGCATCATTCAGGCAATCATGACTTTATGACTTTTATCCCTTAGTCTGTTGGTGGGAGGAATTTTATTTTACTAATGGATTTCTTCATATGGAGCCATTTCAGAGTCACGGGGATAAACTCTACTTGCTCGTAGTTTTAGTGACTTCATCATCATTTTTTGGTATGTAAACTGCCCTAATCGTTTGGTAGTACCCCTCCCTCCCCCCGGCATGGTGTCAGGGTTCTGCAGCTTCACGGAATGAATCAGGAGGAGCTTCTGGTTCATGAGTATGCTTTCCTCCTGGAAAACGTGAAGCATGGGGCACCGGGCTGGCTCAGTCAGTAGAACATGTGACTCTTGATGTCGGGGTCATGAGTTTGAGCCCCAAGCTGGGAGCAGAAATTATTATTATTTTTTTAATTAAAAAAAAAAACAACAGAAAATGTGAAGATCAAAGTCTAAATTTACTGAGGCAGGGCTTTGTCAGCTTTTCAGTTTTTCCTGAGTTGTTTATCTACGTTTTTTATTTTCCTGAGGATATATCTTTTTTGGTAATTTATATTTTCTAAGGAAAGTATAAATTTTAGTGACATTTTCTAAGTTACACAATTAGAACTGAAAATTACATATTTTTAAAACTTGTAATTCCCTCTATATCTTTTGTGTTCCTTTTTTTTTTATTTTGTCATTGTATTTTAATTTTTCTCGTAGCCAGTGCTTGAACCTTGATGTATTAGTCTCACCAGGTTTATTTCTTTGCCTCCCCTCCCCCCCACTGGCAAAAGGCACCAGTTTGTTGGCAAAAGATATAGGTTCTCGAGCTAGACAGCCTAGGTTCGGATCCTGGTGCCCCTCCAGAGGGAAATGAACCCAAGTGAGCTTTTCCAGTGTTAAGTTATATGAGCTTTTCCTCATCTGTGAAATAGGTAACAGTAAGATTTACTCACAGAATTATGGGAAGGGGCATACGAGTTGATGCATTTAAAGTGCTTAGAAGAGGGGGCGCCTGGGTGGCTCAGTCGGTTAAAAGTCCAACTTCCACTCAGGTCTTGATCTCACAGCTCATGGGTTCATGGCTCTGTGCTGATAGCACAGAGCCTGGAGCCTGCTTCAGATTCTGTGTCTCCCTCTCTCTCTGCCCCTCCCCTGCTCACGCTCTGTCTGTCTCACTCTCAAAAATAAATAAACATTAAAAAAAGATTAAGGACCCCTGGGTGGCTCAGTGGGTTAAGCATTTGCCTTTGGCTCAGGTCATGATCTCACAGTTGGTGAGTTTGAGCCCCACATCGGGCTCTGGGCTCTCTGCTGTCAGCTCAGAGCCCACTTTGGATTCTCTGTCTCCCTTTCTCTCTCTCTGCCCCTGCCTGGCACAGAGTCTCTCTCTCTCTCTCTCTCTCTCTCTGTCTCTCGATCTCAAAAATAAATAAACTTAAGAATTAATTAATAATAAATTTTAAATAAATAAAGTGCTTACAAGAGACCTTCCAAAAAGGAAGCTACTGTCATCATTGTCGTGGCCATTATTATTGAGTATTAGATTCACATTCATTTGACATATTTTTCAGTAGGGACATATTATGTATAACATAAAGAATATTTGAAACAATGAGGCAAAGTATAAAAAATATTTAAAAACACCCTTTGATCCCATAACCCTAAAGTACTAATATCTTGTTACGGACATTATTTAGATGCATGACTGCCAGCACGTTTTGGTTCCCATCTACCATGTTAGGGAGAAACAATGATTTTCTTTCCAGTTGGCTGAAAAAGAAATGGATAGCTCGTTTTGGGGGAAAGATATTGAAACCTTTTCAGTAAATACATACGCATGCACACACACGTATGTCTTCAGGATTCTCATCTCTGAGCTAATCAGAGACCCCTCACCTCTCCGTGTCATACGGGAAACCGAGGAGTCTATTCTCATTGTTCAGAGGTTAGGGAAACAGCCTTCCTAAGTTCACCATTACTTAATGTGTTATTTTCTCTAGCTGCACAGTTGGGGATCTTCAAAGCAAGATAGATGGCTTGGAAAAGACGAATTCAAAACTTCAAGAAGAGGTTTGTAACTTACTGAAATTATTAGGACAGAATGGCCCAAGGTTAAGAGAAACGGTGTGGTTGGTACATCCGACCACCCGGTCGGAATGGGAATCGCTAAGTATGGGTTGAGCTGCACGTGAGACCGGCGTTCTTGGAATTTCGCATCCTCAGAATGTCTGTGTTGGCCCTGTCTGGGGCTTCCCGTGAGCCAGTGCCACTGATCATGAGGCAGTTCTAAGTGACTTAGGTTTTATCACCTCACAGTGAACCCCAGGGAAGACAAGGCCTCCTTGGGAAAGCCCAGCTCCTGTGGTGGATGCGCTTCTCTTCTCCTCTTTCCCCACCTTTCCCTGACGTAGTATGCCTCCCTGCTGCCCAGGAGGCACAGACTGTGGTAATGAGGTAAAAGCACCCTCGCCCACCCCTTCGATGTGTTTCGGCCTCTCAGGAGCCTGGAACCAGTCTCCCCACAGTGTGGTCTTTCTCTGCTTTCTCACTAGGAAGAGAGAGAATGAAAAGACAGGAAGAAGGAGGGCTGAGGCCGAGGAAGAAAGCTTGCTGCCCGCTGCCCGGCAGTCTCCTTGGTGGACACATCTTGTCTCCTGTTAGCAGGAGGGGGGTTGCTCAGCCTTTCTGAGGCTTTCCACAGGTAGCGGTCCCTGGCTGCTCGGGCCTCCCCACCAGGTCTCACTGGGGAGGAAGAGGGCTATGAGAGGTTGCCAAGGCGTGACCCCCACCTCTGTGTGGAGGCAGGTTACGGCCAGAGGAGAGACGCAGAGCATGCCTTTGTACGGAGGGCTCGGTTTAAGGCTCCCTCTATTTACATTGACTGCTTTCTCCTAAGGGGAGAGCCCTGAACAGCTTTAAGGAGAGGAGCTCAGATTTGTGTGAGGAGAAGGAAATTCAAAGTCGGCATTCCTAGATGGGCTTCTCTGGGGCAGCTTCACCACACTTAGAATCGGAGGACCCGCATTGCCTTTGGGTGGGTGGGCAGGCCTTTGGGCCTCAGTTTATTAGGTAGGCAGGTCTTTGGGCCAAACTGTCCTCATCTCCAAATCGGATGATAACTCACCCCTGACAGTGTTGTAAAAATGAGATTTGTGTTATATAAATGTGCCTCACACAACACTTGGCGTGTGGAGACATTAGTTGATTTTAGAACAGATTGACTCTTCGTTCTCCCAGGCGAGGTGGCATACTTTGAAGGAAGGTCTAATTTTAGCTTTTGAAACTAAACAGCTAGGTTATTTTTTCTTCAAAGGCCAACAACAGTTAAGGGAAAACATGCTTTAGAGAAAAGTCCCTCTCCTCAGGGTGCCCTCTCCCTGACTTCAGAGAGCGGAGTGGGAGTTAGCAGATAGTTAACTAGCACCTCTAGAGCCTTAAGGTTTCTTAGTTGGGCGCAGCAGTTATGTTTAGAAACCCCAGTCATGGGTTCTGAGTCCACATGGACTTAGATGCGGCTGACCAAGAGAGGAGAGGAGTTCAGTGCTTCAGCCCCACGCCCCCCTCAGTGAGTGCCACCAAGAACACAGCCCAGTTTCCGTCCTCTTTCCCCTTCCCTGGCCTGCCCTTCTCTCTCCAGGCTGTGTTCAGAGGCTGCATAAGGAGAGGCTGGTGGGTATGCTAACGCCTCTACCTGCCTCTCCAGAGAGCCTCCTCCCAACAGGCTTGTGTACACTTGGCCCTGCCCTGTGGTAACTCATTGAGTACAGGAAGATGGCTTTCTAGGGCCCGGCTTTGGCGGGTTTTGGTTGGGATTCCTTTCCCAGAATGCTTTAAGTCTCCCTCTAGTGATAAAAATAATCCTTACTCTTATTGGCTGAAAAAACTGAAGAGAGTGAAGAATCAGGGAAAAAAGCCCATAATCCCTTTGCTAAGTAACAGCTACTGTTCTCATCTGTGTGCATGTGGTCTTCAATGTTTCCTAAGCGTTTCTAACATAGGTGATTTGTTCTTTTTAACTAGAGGCAAGAACGTACCATAGAACTTGCGTTTTTCCCCCAACTGATATTATACCCTAAAGATATCAAAAGCCTTTGCAAACATTTTAATAACTACATACTTCTGCCTTATGCCCCCACTGACCTTCAGTAAGCTTCCATGATATTGGACACTCAGGTGTCTCTAATAATTTGTGTCCGTAAATCCTTGCCTACATTAAGTGGTTTGCTCTCATTTTTTTTTAAATGATGTGAATGTATTACCTATTCAAAACAAAGAAATAACAAAATATCAAATACATGGAAATATATCATCAATCGTGAAGGTGCCAAATGTTGGCTTTTAATCTGAACGGTTAAGATTAATTTCAACGTTAAGGAACATAAAAAAATCTTTCTTTATCAGCTTTCAGCTGCAACAGACCGGATTTGTTCCCTTCAAGAAGAGCAGCAACAATTAAGAGAACAAAATGAGTTAATTCGCGAAAGAAGCGAAAAGAGTGTGGAGGTGAGAAACTGACCTCACAGCTGGGTGGCATGTCTCCCACGCGCACGCATCCTTGGCAGAGCTCACGCTCATTGTTGACTAGTGAGTGACGCAGGCCTTGGGACAGGCAGATATGTGTTGTTTGGTGCCGCTGGGCCCTCCCACACCACTTGCAGGCCATCTGGACCCCTTGGGGTTTCCAAGCACACTGCTCCCTCACCTCTGTGCCTTTGCACTCAAAGGTTCCCATTTACTCTTCAACCTCCGCCCACGTACAGGTCTTTTGTGATGCCTCCACGCCCCCCATCCATGGCCCTGGGCCCTCCTCCTCTTTTCCCATAGCTCTGTCCCCCCCTCCATTAGAGAACCCATCTTCTGTGTCACAGAATTGCTGGCTTGCAGCTGTCCTACTTGATGACCTGAGGACAGAGAGGGACCATATCTGATTCATCTCAAAATTCACCTAGTGCTAAAGAACATGCTGGATCAATGAAAATCCATGCTGAATGATGGACTGAATGGGGGTCTTTCCCACTAAGAACACAGTTCTGTTTTAAAGAAAATTAAATGTAAATTGTTTTCCGAACCTAACTTTTCAAAAGCCAGTTGGCTTGCTCTCATCCTTCAGGTTCAAAGATATTTTGAAGTATCTTTTAGCCTAGCCTTTTTGTACATTGCTTAAAATATAGAAGTTACCCTACATCTTTAAAAATTGCAGCATATTCTTTTAAAATGTTTTTGTTTATTTTAAGTAGGCTCCTTGCCCAGTGGGGGGTTGGACCCCCGACCCTGAGGTTAAGAGTTGACCGAGCTAGCCAGGTGCCTCTATGGTGTATTTTAAAATACTTTGCAGTTAGCTCACTTCCACAAGCAAACCATCCCTCTTGGTGTTCTTTTTTGACACAGATAACAAAACAAGATACAAAAGTTGAGCTGGACACTTACAAGCAAACTCGGCAAGGTCTGGATGAAATGTATAGTGATGTGTGGAAGCAGCTAAAAGAAGAGAAGAAAGTCCGTTTGGTGAGTGCAAGACTGTCTTTTTTTTTTTTTTCTTTTTTCAAGAAGCCTTCATCCCAGGCAGAGCCCAACATGGGGCTTGAACTCATGACCCTGAGATCAAGACTTGAGCTGAAACGCTTAACCAACCAAGCCAGCCAGGTACCCCTAGACTAAATGTCTTTAGAAGGAATTCCCCAGTAGCCCTCCATGTTATTTTTTTTTGTCACTTTTCATACATGTGCTTAAATCTGCTTTGTAAAACAAAATAGTTTTTATATAAAGTTTCTAAAGTGTGAAAAAAAAAGAATCAAAAATCATCTCTTTAAAAAAAATTTTTTTTAGGGGCTTACTTAGTTTGCCACTAAGTTTGGGGTGCCTGGGTGGCTCAGTCAGTTAAGCGTCTGGCTTCGGCTCAGGTCATGATCTCCTGGTTCGTGAGTTCGGGCCCCGCTTTGGGCTCTGTGCTGACAGCTCAGAGCCTAGGGCCTGTTTTGGATTCTGTGTTTCCCTCTCTGTCCCTCCCTTGCTCATGTCTCCCTTTTCTGTCTCTCAAAAATAAAAAAAAATAAAATAAAATTTTTTTAAAAAAAGTTTACCACTAAGTTCTGTATTTTTTCCAGTTTTATAAACCTTTTCAAGGATTACTGTGAAGCCAGATTTGAGGTTGCTTTGCCAATACAGTTCCCTCAGTCAGCCTCTGGTCTATTTATTATATTCCACCTAATCTTTGTGCCAGTGACCAGTGTTTTGGGTCTGTTATTTGGGTGTTTTGGTTTTTTTTTTAATGTATGTTTATTTTTGAGAGACAGAGACAGAGCCTGAGCAGGGGAGGGTCAGAAAAAGAGGGAGATAAAGAATCTGAAGCAGGCTCCAGGCTCCAGTCTCCGAGCTGGCAGTCAGCACAGAGCCCAACACAGGGCTTGAACCCATGAACCGTGAGATCATGACCTGAGCCAAAGTTGGACGCTCAACCAACTAAGCCACCCAGGTGCCCCATTTGGGTTTTTTTTTTTTTTTTAATGTTTATTTATTTGAGAGAGAGTGGTCACAAGTGGAGGAGGGGCAGAGAGAAGGAGAGAGAGAATCTCACGTGGCTCCACACTACCAGCACAGACCCCAATGCCAGGCTTGATCCCATGAACCGTGAATTTTAAAGTAGGCTCCACACTCAGCAAGGGGCTTGAGCTCGTGACCTGAGACTGAGAGTCACACGCTCTACCAACGGAACCAGCCAAGTGCCCCAACCAGTGTTTTTAGTAGACACCACTCTTGGACCTGCTTTGTTTGTTTGCACGGATGTATAAACGTGTCTCCTGCGTTACCGGGGATGGCACTGGTTCAAAACGGTTGCACCTTTGTTGCCATAAACAAGCAAACTGTTCCAGAATCCAAAAGTTCTAACATTGCAATGTCAGCTTGCTTGGCAGACATTGTTTCAGACTGCGTTCTGACCTTTCGGTTTAAAGAATGTGGTTGCTAGAATCGAGGCTCACATTTACTTTCTGTTGACTGGATCCAGAGCCAGTTTTCCTTATAAAATGAGCAAAAGGGCTAAACTTAATGTAGTTACACTCTAGACAGACTTTCCTGCATCTCCCTAACCTATTCTGACTTTTGGGTTATATTTTTGTCACTGACCGAGATACACCCTCGGGTAAATACATCTCTGCATCTACTTTTTTTTTTTTTTTTTTTTTTTACAAATAGTTTATTGTCAAATTAGTTTCCACATAACACTCAGTGCTCATCCCCACAAGTGCCCTCCTCCATGCCCATCCCTCCTCCCCCCCACATCCATCAGTCCTCAGTTTTTGTCAGCATTCAAGAGTCTCTCATGGTTTGTCTCTCTCCCTTTCCCCCACCATTTCCCCCCTTCTTCTCCCCCTTGTTCCTCCGTCAGGTTCCTCCTAATCCTCCTATACGTGCAAACATATGGTATTTGTCCTCTGCCTGACTTATTTCGCTCAGCATAACACCCTCAAGGTCCTCTCTGCATCTACTTTAATAACACTTTCCTCATTGATCTCCTCCTAAGGAACTAGAGAAAGAGCTGGAGCTGCAGATTGGAATGAAGACGGAGATGGAGATCGCAATGAAGCTGCTCGAAAAGGACACCCACGAGAAGCAGGACACCCTGGTGGCCCTCCGTCAGCAGTTGGAGGAAGTCAAAGCGATTAATTTACAGATGTTTCACAAAGTTCAGGTGGGAGTTGGCTCTATGTCCCTAGCACAGCCCGGCTTCCCGCTGCTTGTCCCACGCTGCCTCGCGGCCTCACACCACTCTTCCTGCAAAACAGAGGTCGGACACCTCCCTGAGGCCCAGTCTGTAGGCCCCATTAAGCGTTTCTCCTTTTATTTTATTTGGGTCTCCCAGCAGCCCCTGAGAGAAGTTGATAACGGGGGGAAGTGTAAGTGACAGGGCAAACTCGAGCGGCTGCATCTCGTGCCCTGGGTGGCACAGCTAGTAAGTAGAGCTGAAAACTGAACCCCGTCTTCTGAATCCAAACCCGAACTGGGCCTGTTCTTCCCTACACTGTCTCCCTAGTGTCTGTCGTCTTCTCCTTCAGTGACTAATTGTCTGCCCCAGGAAATGGAGAAGTGGATTAAGGAACGATAGAAGTTGGTGCCATCTTTTCAAGCTGGGCCATGTTTAATCTCGCTGAGTCTCCAGCAGTGGGGCTGGCTGTGCGCCTCTCCTGTCATTTCAGGGCGGTTCGGGAGAGCTAGCCCAGAAAGAAGCGATTGTGGCAGAGTTAGAAAGCTAGCATCTAAAAATTGCTAAGCTTCCTTGCTCAGAAGCTACAGCAGCGCCCAGGACCATTCTGTGTCCCTCTTTTCTTATTTTGAAGTAATGTTTCCTATTTTAATGCCCAAACTGTCCCACTTCCTCTTCCCTAGATGTGCTTTCAGTCTATGTCAGAGATGGCGTGGACACAGACACACGTTATCTTGTCCTGCCGCTTTTTTAATATAGTTTTCATTTATTTATTTTTTAAGGTGTTTTTTTTTTAAATCTTTGTTTATTTTTGAGAGAGAGAGAGAGTGCAAGCAGGAGAGGGGTAGAGAGAGAGGGAGACACAGAATCCAAAGCAGGCTCCAGGATCCGAGCTGTCAGCACAGAGCCTGACACAGGACCCATACTCAGGAACCACAAGATCATTACCCGAGCCAAAGTCAGATGCACACCCCTATATATTTACTTATTTATTTATTTTTAGAGAGAACGTATGCAGAGAGAGGGGCAGAGAGAGAGGATCTTTTTCTTTTCTAATTTTTCTGACATTTATTACTTGTTAAGAGAGTGAGAGACATTGCGAGTTGGGGAGGCGCAGAGAGAGAAGGAGAGAGAGAGAGAAATCATGAGTGAGGGAGGGGCAGTGAGAGAAGGAGACACAGAATCCAAAGCAGGCTCCAGGCTCTGAGCTGTCAGCACAAAGCCCAACGAAGGGCTCGAACTCACAAACCACGAGATCCTGACCTGAACCAACATCGGGAGTCAGACGCTCAACCCACAGAGTCATCCAGGTGCCCTCAAGCCTTTTTTAAAACTATCACGTAACCAACATTATAATAATAGCAGCAGTGGAAATTAAAGCACAGGGAAAAACAGAGGGAAATCATCGCACCCTCCTGACACATTCTCTGTTTTAATTTGTTCCTGTTTTCCTCTGGTTTGGGTCAGTCTGTAACCTTAATATTAATGTGCATCAGGGGAAACCATACTGCCGTAATAACTTAGCAGGCCCTAAACTAAAGTGGCTCCAAACTATGGCAGTCTGTATTTCTGTTGCTTAACAGTTTCGAGGTGAGCATTTCAGACCAGCAGCCTTGCCCCCCACAGTCACTCAGGGACCGAGGCCAATGGCGGCTCCAGCTGTCCAGGCCACCCTGGTCAGCACCATTCGTGCCAGTGGAAGGGGAGAGAAAAGCAAAAGTGCAGAGCCAGGATCTCCTCCCCAACAGTGAGAGAGAAGTTGCACACATCCTTCTGTTCCCTCACATGGCAAAGGGCCAGGCGTGGCTGCGAGGGGAGTCTGGTGCTGCCGTGTCCTGGCCGTGAGCCAGATGAAGGTGACAATAGGGGTCACTAGACGGAGCTGCCGCTACCACCATCCGCCCGACTGAGAAGTCCTATCTAGTCCAGAACCCTCCCGGTCTGCAGCCCCTTGGTGACAGGCAGCACTCTCCATGGAGCCCATGAGGCCTGTGTTTGAACCAGGCCAGCTGTCTTTCTGACATTAGCCCGTCCCGCCCAGCATAAAATGGCGGAGCCAAAACAGGATTGCCAAATGCCTGTTTGCAAAGGGAAACAAGGGACACACAGGGCAGACCCTGGCCCACCGTGGCCATCATTGCATCTCTGGGCAGGAGCTGTGAAGGCTGCCCAGGGCTCCGGGGGCTCCATTTGTTAGCATGTCCACCTACCCTTCCTCTGTCGTCAACAGAACTTGTGGCCCCTGAGAGGTCCGCCATCTCTGTAGCCCATTGGAAGTGGGCTGTCCGGGAGTGTGGCCTTCCTGGTGGTGCATGGCTTTGTTGGCCAGCTTCTCACTGGTCCCGGTTTGCAGGCCTGGAGGTTGTATGAAGGGTCAAACAGTCACAGATGTTCTTCAGGCCTGACTCGTGGTTTCTGTGACAGTACAGGTCCCCCAGTCACCATGTCTAGTCTGGTTATTTCCCTTCAGTCCGTGTGTTGATGACCAGTTTATTGCTTCATTTATTTTTTTTTTAATTTTTATTTATTTATTTTGAGAGAGAGAGCATGCATGTGCACATGTGAGCAGGGGAGGGCAGACAGAGCAGGGGAGAGAGCATCCTAAGCAGGCTCTACACTCAGTGGGGAGGCCAATGCGGGGCTTAAATTCAACGATTATGAGATCATGACCTTAGCCAAAATCAGAAGCCAGACGCTCAACTGACTGAGCTAACCCTGAGCCCCTATGGTTTCACGTATTCAACACAGTTCTTCTGCCTGCCTCATTTCTGTGCTCCATCAGTCTTTCCCCAAACCCCTCCTTCAGCAGCTAGGCATCTGAAACCGCAGGCAAAGCTGTGCAGGAAAGCACCGTACAGTTTTGATTACCACAGTTTTGTAGTATAGCTTGAAATCTAGGATTGTGACGCCTCAAACTTTGTTCTTCTTTGTGAGGATTGCTTTGGTTATTTGGGGTCCTTTGTAGTTCCATACAAATTTTAGGATTTTTTAAAAAAAAATTTTAAATTTTATTATTTTTATTTTTGAGGGAGGGAGAGAGAGAGAGACAGAGCATGAATAGGGGAGGAGCAGAGAGAGAAGACACACAGAATCCGAAGCAGGCTCCAGGGTCTGAGCTGCCAGCACAGAGTCCAATGTGGGGCTCAAACTCATGGACTGCAAGATCATAACCTGAGCCCAAGTCAGACGCTCAACCAACTGAGCCACCCAGGTGACCCTAATTTTAGGATTTTCATACTCTCGTGCTGGATATATATCCTCAAGCTGGATTCAGCTTGCTTGATCCCTTTATCATTATATAATTCTGCTTTTGTCTCACATGGGTACTGCTACAGCTTTTTTTTCTTTTTTTCTTTTTTTGCTTCCATTTGCATGCAGTATGTTTTTCTATCCCTTCACTTTCAGTCTGTATATGGTTTTAGATCTGAAGTGGGTCTGTCTTGTGGACAGCATATAGATGGGTCTTGGTTTTTTATCCATTCATCTCACCCTACCTAAGTCTTCTGATTGGAGCAGTTAGAGCATTTAAATTTAAAGTTATTACTTGGGGCACCTGGATGGTTCTGTCTATTGAGCATCCAACTTGATTTCAGCTCAGGTCATGATCCTAGGGTCATGGGATCAAGCATCATAGGAAGCCTGCTTAAGATTCTCTCTCTCTCTCCCACTCTGCCCCTTTCCCCTTCTTGGGCTCTCTCTCTCTCTCCTCCAAAATAAATAAATAAAAATAAATATGTGTGTGTTCTCTCATAAATAAATACTGACAGGTGTGTACCTTTTGTTCATTGGTTTCTCGTTGTTTCTATAGTTTTTCTTTGTTCCTTCTCTTGCTCTCTTCCCTTGCAGCTGATGGCTTCCTATAGTGCTGTGCTTAGATTCTGTTCTCTTTGGTTTCTGTATATCTATTATAGTTTTTTGATTGGTGGTTACCATAAGGTTAATGTATAACATTCTTTTTTTTTTTTAATGTTTATTTCTGAGAGAGACAGCATGAGCAGGGGAGGGTCAGAGAGAGAGGGAGATACAGAATCTGAAACAGGCTCTAGGCTCCGAGCTGGCAGTCAGCACAGAGCCCAACGTGGGGCTCAAACCCATGAACCGCGAGATCATGACCTAAGCGAAAGTCAGACGCTTAACTGACTAAGCCACCCAGGCGCCCCCATTTGTTTTTCTTTTTAAGTTTATTTATTTAGTTTGGGAGAGAGTGGGAGCAAGAAAGGGACAGAAAGAGGGAGAGAGAGAATCCCCAGCAGACTCCACACTGTCAGTGCAAAGCCCAACATGGAGCTCAATTCATGAACTGTGAGATCACAACCCAAGCCAAGATCAAGAGTTGGATGCTTAACCGACTGAGCCACCCAGGTGCCCCCATACATAACATTCTAAGTATACTGCAGTTTATATGAAGTTGATGGTCACTTAAGTTTGAACACATTCTAAAAGTACTACATTTTTACTTTCTCCCTTCTACTTTTTATGCATATAATGTCATATTTTATATTTTTTAATCTTTATATCTTTATATATCTTTAAATCTTTAAATATCTTTATATCTTAAATTTTTAAATATCTTTATATCTTATATCTTTATATCTTTTTATTTTTAAACACTTTTGATATAATTGGTTTTACTACCTTTGTTTTTTAACCTTCATACCAGCTTTTATAAGCAATTGGTCTACTACGTTTACTTTTTGTTTGCTTTTAGCAGTGAAGTTTTTTCCTTTCATCATTTTCTTACTGTGGTTATGGCCTGCTCTTTTCTGCTGAAGAATCCCCCTTAATATTCTTGTAAGGCTGGTTTATGGATGATTCAGTTTTGTTTGTCTGGGAAACTCTTTTTCTCTCCTGGTTGTGGGATTCTTCCTTGCAGTCCTTTGAATAGATTATGCCACTCCCTTCTGGCCTGCAAAGTTTCTACTGAAAAATCCACTGATGGCCCTTTGAGGTTTCCCTTGTATGTAAACAACTTGCTTTTCTCTTGCTGC